ATTATGCTTATCACCAATCACAAAAATAATGTGATCGGAGCGAAATTTGGTGCACTTATGAGTGGCTTTGATACAACCAGTACCCTTTCCTGGACCACACGTGTTACGTACTGCATTTCAAACTATAGAAACGGAGAGACTCTCGAAGTCGATCAATCTCTGACAAAAGCGCCCTGCATTCGTCTCCATTCGTAGCATTGTTTGGAGTGATTGAACGCATATCTGGTCTTCAAAGGACTCCGTGATGGCCCATCAATGTATTAAACTGGACAGCTATCCTCCCAAACAAGTATGATACAAATTCGTCAAACCAGTAGAGATTGAGGCTCGGTGAGCACTCGGCGCGGATTCAATCCATGAAATATCAGTTTGTTCAACTATGTGGTTGCTACAAAGCACCTCTAACCGCTGTGTCACACGCGCTCTTATATTTCTCAATATTTACGAATGATCTAGGATTTATGAAAGTTAAAGGATAAAGCTCTCGGCGTTGAAAGATTCCTGATGGATGCGCCATGCATGCGTCTTCAATTTTTAGTTTCGTTTGAGGTGATTGAATGTATGTCTGGCCTTTACAAGGACTCGCGTGGGCCTCGTGCTGAGCCGAATCAATGCTGCTTATCCTCCTAGAGAGGTCTGGGACCAGTCTGGTACCAATTTACTTCCCGGAGGTATGAACTGTTTGGTGAGCAATTAGCGCGAGCTCAAACCATTGATCTCGTCTGCGACGCAAAACACCTCTAACCACTGCGCCACATACACTCTGCGCGCGGTGCGGTGGCTCATTGGTTAATGACGCAGTGTATTCAGGAAGCAAAGGGATAATTAGAATGAAGACACTCATATGTAGGCAGATCGGCTAACAGCTAATGAAATCGCTGACTTTTCAGTTAACCACATGCGTTCAAATACCCAAAATCGTTACATAAGAAAGAAAGAAAATGTCCGTCGGCATTACTGATGTTATGTGGTATTGCTCTCATCGTACCTTCACCATAACTCAACACCCGTTCCCTTTGGTTTTTTTTAGTGCAATTTTTTGCAATGAAATAGCATGAATTGGTATTGTTCAACTGTGCATTATCTTAAGAACATTTCGGTATACAGCTTGCCTCTATGTGCCTTGAGATGCTGTCATGGGAACAAATTTGCTTGCTACTCATGCACGAATGGCGCATCGGAGAAATTGTTAGTGAAGCGGTGCGTAAGATCAATGGAACTTACTGTGGACGACGCGAGAGCGACTGATCCTCCAGACTGTCCTCTTCAGCTGAACTTCGCAAATCGCTTCCTATCGTCTTTTCTGTAACCGTGTCATCCCCCTAAGGTCCATTAATGTTGAGCGCCTCATTATTAACATTTTCCCCTACGCGCCATTTGCGCATGAACAGAAAGCGATCTGTTCCCACGACAATACTATCTTGGAGCAAATGTAGGCCAACTGTTTACCGAAATGTTCGCAAGAAAATGAGCATTTGAACGATTCAAAGTAATGCAATTTTATTGCAAAAATCATATTAAGTTATCAAAACAGTACGTAGTTTTTACACATCCATTTACTACAAAAGATATGAATTCTATCTTCTTGATCCTCTATCAGAAATAAAGAAAGTGCCCACCGATGGACGAAAGTCGATGCTGCTTATTGGACGGGACTGACCAGAGAGACTGCCATTCGACGTTTCCGTATCAAACGAGAACGCATGGGCAAACCTATAATCACTTTATCTCAAATAGAATTGAGAATGAATGAGACTATATATTCAGTGATGCTTAGTGATACACAAAACTTTGGACCTGGGCGGACGTTGAACCGCCGTTTCAGCGTTTCCGAGGACGAATGCAAACCACTACACTACCAGGCTGCTGCTCCATCACCACATTTTTAGCCATCTAGTTGCTTTCACATATTTGAGTAGTTGTCAGATTGGCCGGATTTTAAGCTATTATATGTTAATGACGCCAAATCGTTAATGGATCGATTGATGACAGAATCCATACGCTTTGTCTCACTCAGAAATAGCGATATGTGTACAAAAGCCCGCGGTTGTGCGGTGATTATCACGCGTTCTTGGAAAGGGTGAGACACAGGTCCAACTCCCGTTCGACGTTCGAAATTTGCGTGTCACTCAGCATTATTGAGTTTATAGTTGTAATCTTTCTATTGCTAAGAAAGCGCTTAAATGAAAGAGTTCTCGGTGAATGGGACCTCAAAAAGGCCCGGAAAGCGTAGGGATAAGAGGACTCACTGTTCACGTCCATTTCCAGCAGCCGCTATTCCCTTACTGTCATCATTCCACTTATCCCGAACACTATCGGAAAACACCTAGAACTATCACGAAATTTTCGTAGCTAATTATTTACGGGTAATGAGGATATCCATAAATAACGTGCCTAACAGGTGGTCTTGGGAAATGTGTAACTTTGGTGGGTGCCCCAATCCGGATATTAGCAACCGTCTCGCCAGAAGCGACATAAATCTGAAACCTTTTACTGCTTAGACCAAACCGGTAGAAGAAAAGGCGGTTCTTTATATAACCTTCCGTTTGGAGTGTATTGCATAGACCAAGCATAAATGAAATATGCCTAATAAACATTTTTTGAGCCATGCATGTGGTCTTTTTTCAGGGCAACTTACACAGCCCGATACATGTGTTTCGGCATTGACAGCTTCGTCAGTGGGGTAGCACCCTTTGTTTTTATTTTAGCAAGTCATCTCGCGGCAATCCAACCCTAATATAGATTTGGCGGAGACGAACTTTTTACAAGTGCCATTAAATGAAAATATCACTGAAGGACTTTGATCTGAATTTGCTTATTTTTGGCTGGTGTTCGTTATATAACATTATTTTCCTCATATTATCCAAAAACAAGTAAGGAAACGACCCCTTTCGCTGGACAAGAACTTTTCATTAGATTGTTAGCAATTATTCGACACCTCAAATCGCCAGCTAGTGCCCTACGTGCTCCTTTCTTCAAAAAAGCCTCTTAATTACGCTATAATAGAAAGCCCGCTTCGATTTTTATTAGAGATGTAGTGAAGAGGTCAAAGTACGTCCAACTCCGTGCCCACCTTTTCGACTCAACGATTATACCAACCTTAAAGTATGCAGCAGAAATCTGGTCGCTACGTAAACAAGATGAAAGATCACTTGGTGTTATTGAACGCGCACTCGAAACGTCGTTACCAGGAGTATCCCTTATCACGTGAATGAGAGGAAGGACCCGATGTTCCGACCTACGTGAACGATCAAGGATTAAAGACGCCGTTCTACACGCCAGGATATCGACTGGTACCCGCTTGAGTCACTCGACGATGACGGGACGACAGGTAATACAGGTGATACAGGTGATAATAGAAAGAAATCAATGCGTATCACACATGCACATTTCTCGTAGAAGAGAACTATTACCTGGAACTATGAGTAACCATCAGATAACGTAAGTTTCGATGATTTCAATGCCGTGCTTACTTTCTGAAAATATCGTTAAATTGCAGTGCAGGGGAGTAAGTGAGATTGAACTTCTCACACACAGGCAATGTTTTTTCGGTTAACGCGTGGGCCGGACGCAAGCAAGGGGATGCTGGCCCGTGGATTCCATACGGTAACAAATCAGTCGCGCTAGTGCGACTCTCATGTAAAGTGCAATTTTTGTTGTTAAATCTAAGATTCTTTCTTCGCTTTGGACGATATACAGATCAATCCCTATAACTCTCACACTACAAGATTTTCTCTACATCTTAGCATGCCTTTCGCTCTTCCAGCAAAGTAATGGTAAAATCAGGCGGTCGTTGTTTAACATAATTTTATTTTCATTCCTACAACTTTTGAGAAGGCTTTCGTAAAAAAGTAACATGTAGCGCAGTAGCCAGATTTAAGCTTTCCAATGATTACTAACAATCATATGAAAAGTTCTTGTACAGCGAATGGGGTCGTTATTTCATTTGCCGCCAAATAACAGAAAAAAGCGAAGAAAACAATTGTAAACATCCGATTTGAGGTCTTATTAGGCTCTGAAGAAGCGAATAAAAAGAAGAAGAAAGGTGGAAAACATACCCACTCGGGCTGATTTTTGCGACAGTAGTAGGAACTGAATGCTCCTTATAGATATGGACATGGGTGATGTTCTAAATTCATTAAGAAATAAGGAGTCGGCTCGGAGCACTCCGAGATTGAACTTTCAAGGCTATTGGCAATCCAGAGATCTTACCTCAACATCCACAGTATAGAAAGAATGGCTATCACAGTAGATGATTCGATTACGTTGTGGAGTGGAAGTAATGCCGAAAGAACTCCTCGAGTCGCACGTGGAAAGGAGGCACATACACGACACCTGCATACTCACTAGAGTCTTCGGAATTTATTCCTAAAAACTAATCTATAGTAATAAATTATAGTAATTATAGTAATTATAGTAATAATCTAATTGCCACAGTATATTTGAAGTCATTCGATATGAAATATTGAATCATATTCATTCATTTCATTTCTGACCAGGGCCAATCATCAAGTTCACAGACAAGCTTATATTTTCTTAAAATTGAAGGCCAATCTGACAACGAACATCTAGGACAGCTTTCCCTCACTAGGTATTGGCTATTGCGTTTGACGAGCAGTCACATTACTAATTTATAGCAAATAGAATACTCGCTAACCTTGGAAAGTTACACTATCTGAAATAGATTTCCTTTTGCACAAGTTTGCAATCGCCTTTTTACGTCCACAAATTCATTTCTTTTCGTCCAGAAGACCTGACGAGATGGGTCAAATGAGATAAGCAGAAATCACACTGAAACCACCGCGCAGTGACATCCAAAGTTGAACGTCTTTTCCATAGAAGTACTCTAGAAGGATAGAAGAAGCGTGAAATTGAAAGTCATCCAACAGTACGATTTATGCGGAAGCTCGACCTAATTGTAATAGAATTGCATTCCACTTATGATCACAATGCTACGATCACTCCGCACGTATTCCAACAAGTGTCTCCCCATTCAAAATGCATTGGTGGTTCAATGGTTAATGTCAGCTTGCGACGTAGGTGACCCGGGTTCGATTGCCGCCCAATGCACCATATTACAGTACATATGCTACATGGTGCATTGGCCGAGAATCGAACACGGGTCACCCGCGTCGCAAGCGACATTCTAAGACTAAACCATCGATGCATTGGAACGGAGAGAAACTTGTTGGCATACGTGCAGAGTGGTCGTAGCCCATTACAATGGAATTGCATTCCACTCATGGTTGTCTCGCCGTTGCTGTATGGTGCACTTTCCGCGAATCGAGCCCGGGTCGCCCGCGTGGCAAGCACGCACTCTACCACTGAACCACTAATGCACTGGTTCTTTCGTTCGGCAAAATTTCACAGAATTCGTCTATCGATCTATTCGTCGTCGATGAAGGTTTGAGGGAGTTGTGAATGTTGCAGTCTGGCTTTACTCAAGCATCCCCATATAACCCTATGGATAAAGCTCCCGGTGTTGATCTACGCCTAAGGAGTGTACCATGCACTCCACTCCATTCGTAGTATCATAGAGGTGATTGAATACCTGGCTTTCACAACCTCATTAAGCCGTCTATACCTACCACGGTTCGTTTCAGTTGGTACCATCGAACTTATCTGGGAGGATAGCATCACTAGTTGATACAAAATTCATCTCTGGCCTAGCGTTGTATCAAGTCAGTGTTGCTACCCTCCCAAGACAAATTTGGTGCTACCACCTGACCGACCTCAGAAGGGGAGGGCTGGATGGCCTGATGGAGATCAATCCATTGACTATCGATTAGTCGATGACCACGTATGCTTCACCACAGAGCACCTCTAACCAGTGGCGCGGCGCAGAGTGCCTCTCTGTCGAAATCCCCCACGTCTCGGAGAGAATTCCCTTAGTGGGTAGGGGCCCGCCCACAGAGAGGGTGACGGAATCTCGCTTGTTTATTTCTATGCTTGCTGTTTATTTGAGTTTTTTTTTGTTTATATTTGTCGTTTTTCTCGATTTTTACTAACACTTCTATCTACTATTATCCAATTTTATTTCATTCTACCCACCACTAGAAAAAATCGCTCCGATTACTGTGGTGTTTTTATCGATCGTTTTTAGAATCTATTGATTTATTTGATCTCGATCCGATCGGTTTGAATCACCGTCGGCTCTAAAAAAGACGACGACGTCATTGTGAGACGAGTAAGCTTATATTTATTGGTTTTTTGATCGTTATCTTAGTTATAAAGAACACTGTTGCTGATAAATAATCCCGAGGTTGAGAGAAAGTGGAATTTGAAGAAACTACAAGTAATGCTCAATCAATTTGAACTTCTTACTTTTATTGCTTTTTAGCAGTATTGCGATGTTACAAATACAAGTATATTAACAGCCATGCAAATGTTCCAATCCGACGTGGTGTCGAACCCGCGTCTCATCCACACAGAAGGGCGCGCACTACCATTGCACCACATGAGTAATGTTTAATGTCTGAAAAAAATGACGACTACAGGGGTTGAGCTGTGCTGCAGCACTATTTTCTATTGCAAACACGCGAGAAATGTTATTTTCATATGGGTAGAAGTAGTTCTAGGTGCGATTACTCCTTGTTTTTACGTTTTGTATACGAGTCATAATTTTATGGTCTTTTAGTCCCTAACTTCATCGAAAAACCCTGGATTAGATTAAAAGATTAATCGATATCATTTGGATATTTTCAAAATATAGTAGTCTTTGGAGCTTCCAACACGCGTTAGAGGATTTTCTGCAGAATGGATAGGTTCGCTAAGCTAAAGAAGAAGAAGAAGCCTAAAACCGAGGCTGTCTATGAACTTCGGTCTTCTTCACTCGTTGAGAGGTTTTCCATGATAACGTAAACATGAAGGTGCTATAGATTGTTAACCAATATTGAAATTAATTATAACTTACAATTTTAAAAAGAATTCTACAAGAGCAATCTCGTATTTCGGACTTATCAAGATAGAACTGTATACGGTGCGCTCCCACCGTCATAACGTAGTTGTTTCAACCCTTTCAGGACCGTTACCCACGGCCTCTGCGTCTTTAACCCCAACGCGTTGCGTCCAACAGTGGCACGATGAGGTTAGACGTCATTGTTAGACGCAAAACGCCAAGAATTGGATACGCCAACGCAGTGGGTCTACGGTCCCGTAAGCATTAACGATGTTTCCCTCTTTCTCCTCCTCGTCCTCTCATCCAGTCGGTCGTCCGTCCCTTTTGTTTTCCGGTGGTCTGATATTACTCAAATCTAGGTGGCAGTAGATTAGTTTTTAGGAATAAATTCCGAAGACTCTAGTGAGTATGCAGGTGTCGTGTATGTGCCTCCTTTCCACGTGCGACTCGAGGAGTTCTTTCGGCATTACTTCCACTCCACAACGTAATCGAATCATCTACTGTGATAGCCATTCTTTCTATACTGTGGATGTTGAGGTAAGATCTCTGGATTGCCAATAGCCTTGAAAGTTCAATCTCGGAGTGCTCCGAGCCGACTCCTTATTTCTTAATGAATTTAGAACATCACCCATGTCCATATCTATAAGGAGCATTCAGTTCCTACTACTGTCGCAAAAATCAGCCCGAGTGGGTATGTTTTCCACCTTTCTTCTTCTTTTTATTCGCTTCTTCAGAGCCTAATAAGACCTCAAATCGGATGTTTACAATTGTTTTCTTCGCTTTTTTCTGTTATTTGGCGGCAAATGAAATAACGACCCCATTCGCTGTACAAGAACTTTTCATATGATTGTTAGTAATCATTGGAAAGCTTAAATCTGGCTACTGCGCTACATGTTACTTTTTTACGAAAGCCTTCTCAAAAGTTGTAGGAATGAAAATAAAATTATGTTAAACAACGACCGCCTGATTTTACCATTACTTTGCTGGAAGAGCGAAAGGCATGCTAAGATGTAGAGAAAATCTTGTAGTGTGAGAGTTATAGGGATTGATCTGTATATCGTCCAAAGCGAAGAAAGAATCTTAGATTTAACAACAAAAATTGCACTTTACATGAGAGTCGCACTAGCGCGACTGATTTGTTACCGTATGGAATCCACGGGCCAGCATCCCCTTGCTTGCGTCCGGCCCACGCGTTAACCGAAAAAACATTGCCTGTGTGTGAGAAGTTCAATCTCACTTACTCCCCTGCACTGCAATTTAACGATATTTTCAGAAAGTAAGCACGGCATTGAAATCATCGAAACTTACGTTATCTGATGGTTACTCATAGTTCCAGGTAATAGTTCTCTTCTACGAGAAATGTGCATGTGTGATACGCATTGATTTCTTTCTATTATCACCTGTATCACCTGTATTACCTGTCGTCCCGTCATCGTCGAGTGACTCAAGCGGGTACCAGTCGATATCCTGGCGTGTAGAACGGCGTCTTTAATCCTTGATCGTTCACGTAGGTCGGAACATCGGGTCCTTCCTCTCATTCACGTGATAAGGGATACTCCTGGTAACGACGTTTCGAGTGCGCGTTCAATAACACCAAGTGATCTTTCATCTTGTTTACGTAGCGACCAGATTTCTGCTGCATACTTTAAGGTTGGTATAATCGTTGAGTCGAAAAGGTGGGCACGGAGTTGGACGTACTTTGACCTCTTCACTACATCTCTAATAAAAATCGAAGCGGGCTTTCTATTATAGCGTAATTAAGAGGCTTTTTTGAAGAAAGGAGCACGTAGGGCACTAGCTGGCGATTTGAGGTGTCGAATAATTGCTAACAATCTAATGAAAAGTTCTTGTCCAGCGAAAGGGGTCGTTTCCTTACTTGTTTTTGGATAATATGAGGAAAATAATGTTATATAACGAACACCAGCCAAAAATAAGCAAATTCAGATCAAAGTCCTTCAGTGATATTTTCATTTAATGGCACTTGTAAAAAGTTCGTCTCCGCCAAATCTATATTAGGGTTGGATTGCCGCGAGATGACTTGCTAAAATAAAAACAAAGGGTGCTACCCCACTGACGAAGCTGTCAATGCCGAAACACATGTATCGGGCTGTGTCAGTTGCCCTGAAAAAAGACCACATGCATGGCTCAAAAAATGTTTATTAGGCATATTTCATTTATGCTTGGTCTATGCAATACACTCCAAACGGAAGTTATATAAAGAACCGCCTTTTCTTCTACCGGTTTGGTCTAAGCAGTAAAAGGTTTCAGATTTATGTCGCTTCTGGCGAGACGGTTGCTAATATCCGGATTGGGGCACCCACCAAAGTTACACATTTCCCAAGACCACCTGTTAGGCACGTTATTTATGGATATCCTCATTACCCGTAAATAATTAGCTACGAAAATTTCGTGATAGTTCTAGGTGTTTTCCGATAGTGTTCGGGATAAGTGGAATGATGACAGTAAGGGAATAGCGGCTGCTGGAAATGGACGTGAACAGTGAGTCCTCTTATCCCTACGCTTTCCGGGCCTTTTTGAGGTCCCATTCACCGAGAACTCTTTCATTTAAGCGCTTTCTTAGCAATAGAAAGATTACAACTATAAACTCAATAATGCTGAGTGACACGCAAATTTCGAACGTCGAACGGGAGTTGGACCTGTGTCTCACCCTTTCCAAGAACGCGTGATAATCACCGCACAACCGCGGGCTTTTGTACACATATCGCTATTTCTGAGTGAGACAAAGCGTATGGATTCTGTCATCAATCGATCCATTAACGATTTGGCGTCATTAACATATAATAGCTTAAAATCCGGCCAATCTGACAACTACTCAAATATGTGAAAGCAACTAGATGGCTAAAAATGTGGTGATGGAGCAGCAGCCTGGTAGTGTAGTGGTTTGCATTCGTCCTCGGAAACGCTGAAACGGCGGTTCAACGTCCGCCCAGGTCCAAAGTTTTGTGTATCACTAAGCATCACTGAATATATAGTCTCATTCATTCTCAATTCTATTTGAGATAAAGTGATTATAGGTTTGCCCATGCGTTCTCGTTTGATACGGAAACGTCGAATGGCAGTCTCTCTGGTCAGTCCCGTCCAATAAGCAGCATCGACTTTCGTCCATCGGTGGGCACTTTCTTTATTTCTGATAGAGGATCAAGAAGATAGAATTCATATCTTTTGTAGTAAATGGATGTGTAAAAACTACGTACTGTTTTGATAACTTAATATGATTTTTGCAATAAAATTGCATTATTTTGAATCGTTCAAATGCTCATTTTCTTGCGAACATTTCGGTAAACAGTTGGCCTACATTTGCTCCAAGATAGTATTGTCGTGGGAACAGATCGCTTTCTGTTCATGCGCAAATGGCGCGTAGGGGAAAATGTTAATAATGAGGCGCTCAACATTAATGGACCTTAGGGGGATGACACGGTT